ACGCACGGCCTACGGGTCCTAGCCACCCTCGTCCTCCTGTACAGCCTGTTCGTCCGGTACAGCCGGTTCTACAGCAGGTTCGTCTGGTACAGGTTGTTCGTCCTACACAGGCTGCTCCTCAACGACAGGCTAGGGGGCGTTTTCTGCATCCTAATCAGGTAAATAATTTACGTATTTATTGTTATTTAACATAAATTATTTTCGCTTAATCACAACAAATTATCAGTAATGTTAGAAAAGTATTATCGGCCTGTTCCTCAACTACAGTATAATTATTTTGTAATTTAGAGGAACCATACAATTAATTAGTTAGAAAATTATTATAATTATTTTTATTATTGTTATAATCAATTAGTAGTAATGTTACATAATAAATTAGTTTAAAATTTTTTATTATATTTTATTAATGTATAATGTAACGTTTGCACATTAATTGAAAAAAAAAAAAGAACGGGAAGCTTATGAAATATGTTTTACTAAATATATTTTATTTAATGCATCTACCAGCAAGTCAATATATACAGATATGTTGTATTGTAATGCAGGTATTAGCAAACGAGCTAGGACCGATGATGATGCACCCTGGATCGTTAAAGGCCCAGTGCCCGGTGGGCCCATTGATGGGAGTGTCATCCCTAACTTTCTTGGCGTGAAGAGATGTCTTCCAATGCGAGAGCTCTTCTCGACCAGACTGGGCTGTCACATTTGGCCGACTCCATGCACATCCACTTGGACACCCCACTCCTTTCTGCGTTGAGCGATGGCAGCCGGATACTAACTCGTTTCACCTGCCTTTTGGTGAAATGAGCATCATGTTGCACGACGTCCGGGCCATTTTGGGCGTTCCTGTAAAGGAAGCCGTGGTCGCTGAGGACCCGGATTCGGACGCCTGCCATGGGCTCTGCATGTCGATATTTTCGGTCACCAAGGGCGAACTCATGAGTTTGTTCTGGCAGCGTGGTTCGGTGTTCGAAGCTGCCATTTCGGGGGCATTCAGGGGAAAAGGCCGGTCGGCTAGGGATGAGGCGGATGCCTGGATGTGGGTGATGCTGACTACCACATTGTTCGTTGACAAGAGTGGTAGTAGAGTGACCCCCAAGCTCCTACACGAGGTGCTCGACGGCTTGGATTTGATTGGGGGTTACTCATGGGGATCGGCTACGCTGGCATACATGTACAGACAGCTACGTATTGCCAGCCGAGGGGACTCTGCCCAGATGTCGGGCTGCTTGACTCTTATGCAGTCTTGGATATATGAGTATTTCCCTGATTTCCGACCCCCGGGGCGTCTACCCATCGGTCGTGATTGTCTCGCACGATCACGCTCGTGGAGCGTAGGGAATGCGCCACGGTCAGACGATCGGCTCACAGCCATCCGTCGGCGCCTCGACAGACTCACTGCCTTCGATGTACGTGAAGTTATTTTATTTAAATTTAGTTACCCGTTATTTAAAATAATATAATTATTTTTATAAATGCTTTTATGCAATTGTGAACAGGTGCAATGGTTGCCATAGAGCAACTCCAGCCCAGATGTGATAGAGCCGATGACTCTTTATAGCGGATTGATTCGATACAGCGATGTCGTCGAGCCGTACGTGCCTGCGCGGTGTCTGCGTCAGTTGGGGTATGTCCATACTGTCCCTCCCCCTACAGCCAATCAGTGCAGTACGTGCTTGGGAGTCTAGGAACTACAGGGTTGAGCATTCTGAGGCTGCTGCAGTAGGTGCCTGGACCCAGTTCCCGATTTCTGGGACGGTCAACACCGGTATGTTGACCCCCACCACACAGGATCGCGGGGAGGCGACTGAGGATTACCTGCAGTGGTATAGTCGGGTTTCCCATCCGACTCTCATGGACGAGGAGCTGCCGGACGAGAACGAGGTCCCTACGCGTGTTAATACCGCCTATGTAAGTTGGTTACTAAATTTTAATTAATGTTATTTCATTACAATAATTTTTTTTAATGAATTTTAGTCTTATCTTTTTATTCTTCCATTTGTTTAGTGGGTGAACCGTCTTTTGGGCATTACATCGATTTGGCAGCAGGGATGCGAATGTCCGGTGGCGGCGGAAGTCCAAGAAGAACTGGCTAAGTTTAAGTTGGATTACGACAATGCCCAATAATGATGTAATGGTTTTTTTTTAAATTATTATTGTAAAACATTATGTTGAATGACTTTTTTTTTTATTTATTATTTGTAAAACATTAAGTTGATGGTTTTTTTTTGTTTTTGCTAAAATAGAGTTGAACTGATTCATTTTGTTTTTTATTTCCTAAACATAAGTTGAATGAGAAGCGTCATACCACAAGTGAATAATATCGTTCTTTTATTCAAGAAGGTGTTTTTTAACAGTAAACCACAATCGCAACCTACCCTCGTACTGATTCTCCCAACCCACAACCGATTGATCTCGGTTATGGAACCACATGGAATGAATAGGCGGTAATGGACAATCATGAGTCAAATCTAAACGAATGTAGTGTGCTACGGCACCAAGATGGCACATGAAAATCTCACGACATGGTCCTCTAGCTGATGATCGTGCAATGAGAGGCAACACTGTGGTGCTGAATAAATCGTGCTGCCCGCCTTGCGGACCAGAGCTCAACAGAACGACAACCGCATTAAATAGGGTCGCAACGACGTAGAGGTCCTGCGGAACTTCGAACCAGTAAGCCCGTCCACAAGGGCCGTCGGCCCACCTTACGCGACGGAGTCTGGGGTCGATATCTCTAAAATAAATGTACTCGTACAATTCACGGTGGCTGTCGACCTCCTTCGCAATGCTTTCTCTTGCATATGCCCAGTACTTCTGGTGACCATACACATGACTCGCGATGACCGGAAATCCGCAGTTACCATCCGCATCCACATTCAGGTAACTCACTATGTAGTCCAACATATGCCAGGGGATATTTTGCCACATTGAAAATCCAAATATATTTGTCGGTCTAAACTCTGCAATAAATATCATAATTTCACGTCACAATTTATTTAAATATATAAATACTTTAATTAATGCTCAGCCATATTTAGAAAACCAAATGTATGACCTGCTTCCCCTTGTGACTGTTGAGAAGACGAACTTGTCTGTCCACGCGAAGAAGTGGTCGTACGGCTCGATTTCCGATCTCGCGATCTATCGTTGTACTCAAAAGTAGATGGTTTACGCTTAGTTGAATTAGGTTTCTTAGGACGACCTCGCGGGTTATCCTTACCTCAGGTTCCGCATAATCCTGTTGGTCTGGGTAAAGATGACTATACATGCACTGATTCACGTACCGCATCGTCGCGGGATCGCGGGTTTCAACCTCACTCACAAGCGTCTGAAAGAACTCCGCATCTGACTATGCAGCCTGGCTCGTCTGGCTCTGATGACCAGTCCCTACAAGGATACGATAAAAAAGTTAATGAATTAAACTAAATAATACATTTTAATAGAAAATTATAAATAGAACATTAACCTTAAATTACCTGGCTCTAATATCTGTAGCGTTCTTTAGAACTGGTGAATCATTTTGAGATCAATCGGAATGTTGAAATCAACTGCGTTGCGAAGCAGACAGGCACAAGGAAGTCCATGAGTGAGCTGCAATACATAGCCTCAGCTAGTGTAAACATCGGCGTCCAAGCCGTGCATCCTCGTAAGCTCAGCGTCTAATAAACTCAGACAGTAATGCGAGACCCTTAGTATCACGCTCGCGAAAAGGATTCTCTTATACCGTGTATTATTCTTAGATCTCGAGGCCTCAAGCGCCGTCCTGATAATACGTTACATAACGTTAGATTATAATTAATTAATGCAGTAATATAATAACGCATTTAAAAATTGCAGTACGTACTTGATTTCAGTCACTTGATTATCGATGTGCTTATTAATCTTCTGCCAAATTGTATCGAGCGTGCCGGTAGACGTCTGAAGCCACTCTTTCAGCACAGAGTGGGCACTCTCCACCCTACAGGAAGTTGTGTTTCCAAAATGTGTCACTCGGTTGGTCCAAGCCTTCACAAACTTCTCGCGGTGCCCTAACCATGTGCTCTCCACATACCGTATCACCTCTGGAGACTTCGAATATTTTGCGTGCAGCTCGGCAACGGCATCGGTGTAGGCATCGAACGTACTGGCCTCTGCAATCGCCTTCCACGTACTGTGCGTGGAAATCTCCGAGAATTTTTTACTCTTCCCAAATAGTTTGTAGGCTTTGTCTTCCACATCCTTGTTGATGTGCTACGTGCAGAGTAAGTGGGCTGATTCAGGAAAATTCCTCTGAATAGAAGTGAGTAAACCCAACTGTCTGTCACTGACAACAACATAAGGATATACGTCTTGGCCTATCAGTAGTCTCAACTTCTCTAGAACCCAATCGTAACTGGCCTCTTTCTCGTCCCTGATGAGCGCATACGCAATTAGGAAGTTCTGGTTGCACGGTGTCATCCCAATCATCTCGACCAACGGTATCTTGTACCTGTGCAAATGAGACCAAGAAGACAAAAAATATAATCAAATAAAAGTTTACTTAATCAAACACAATATTTAAGATTCATACTAATAAAGTATTTATAAAGTAACATACATGTTGGTTTTATACGTGGAATCTATGCCGACATACCAGTGATATATCTGGAATAGATTGATCGACGCAGGATGGGCCATGAATATATGCGCCAACGCTTTCGTGTTCGGATCGGATTCTGCATAAACTGTATACTCGCTGCTCACGGCCAAATGCATAAGCTGGGAAGGAACGTCTCTACCGTCGAAACTCTCTTTCCGCAGCTTATCTCTAAAGTTATATACCTGTCACCGATTAGCGTTAATTATAATGATTATTATAATTTAAAAAAAAAACGCGTATAAGTTGCAATCTAGTTGGTGATTTCGACACTACTGGTGCAGGATTAAATCTTGAGAGCCATATTCCGAATCTTGTTCACCTCGTCCTCGAGCTCGCTTAGGGACCCTATATGATGTTCTTCACATATTCGAGAAACCCTTCAGGACGTTCGATGATCACAAGCCATATTTGGAACCCCTTGTTCATCTCCAAGTAAGGCCACTGCGGGCTCGTAACAGCTCAGACTCCACTTTTGATCATTCTTCCACGCATCGTCGTGCTTCACAGTAGGAGTTGGTATTATATTTTTTCTTGAAGAGAATCGTTTCGCTTTTCAACTAATAAAATCGATGGTTTTAATTTCAATCTTAATCAATTAAGTTTTCCAGTTTTGTGATGCTTCGCGTTGGAAATCGATGCAATAAAGATTACATTGCATGTAATTTCCATGTTACTCACCATATTTGATCTAGGTCGTTGAGTGTATTAATATAGTGATTGCTGGGACAAAATTTTAAAGTTAGTCCTATAATTTGGTCAAAGTAAAAAATTCCACTACGTCATTGACGACTTTCACATTGGGTCCGATAGTTAGGCAATTTAATCAATTTTAGTCTCTTTTTGTGGATAAAAACGTAACATGTCATGACGTCTCAATTTTTTTAATGTGACATGACATGATTATTGTTTACGTGGTCGGATTAGAAAAGACAGAAACACTAATTTATTCCAATGCCACTGCCACTGGTCGACCGCCCATCAACCACCTCCGAGCGTAAAATGTGTTACATCATCTTGAATCTCTTTTCTTCCTCGCTCACCTCTTAAAATTTTCGACGAAAATTCCACTGGTAAGGTCGCTAATTGTTATAGTAAAATTTTTTAGATCTAGAAATTTATGGTCAAAATTTGGTCTTCTTCTTGAAATTTCTGGATCCAGGACGACCCACCGAAATCCGAGGACACCTCTGGACTCTTTGTGCTGCCGCGCACTCGACGACGTCTACCATCTCTGGGACCGACATTTTCGGCGACCAATTTTATTCCAGCAGGCCTTTATGCTCAAGTCAATGGCTGCACAACTGCACCGCTGCGCACGCCACGTGCGGTGCCCCTAACCTCCACCTCCGGACCTCTTCGCCTGGCCACCGTCGACGATATCATGAACCCCTGGTACAAGAGGTGGGCCCACGGCCTACACCCGGAAGCTAACTCAAAGTCCGACTGAAAAGCCGAACCCATGTCAAATCTGCTGTTGGGGCTCGCCAGGGGCATCAGACCCGTCATGACGTTGATGCTCAACTTCCTGCCGGCCCTTGCGTCTGTCGCGACCCTTGCGTCCACCATCGACCCTTCATTTTTGGAGTTAAAGATTTGAAGAAATTTGAGCATTTCCATAAATGAAAGGGGCTCGACAGGGGTTTTAAGTTGATCTTTTGAAAAGGAAAAAAAAAAAAAGAAACCATCT